GTGTAAAAATGGGAGAGCAGGAGCTCAGCACTGTGCACTAAAGGATTACGGGAACACAGATACATGCAAAATAGAGAAGTTAAAATCCTAAGGCATCAGCTCCAATGTTTTCTGTGCTGCCATTATGAAAAGTACAGAATGAAGGAGCCCATTGTCCACTGGAAGATGTCAGTGCATCTCTTATCTGGTCATGCAGCTGCACAAATAACCCCAGGGCAGGGCAGAAGCAGCACTGTCACTCCAGCTCAAATGCCAAGCCTGGGCCAGCTGAGAAAAACAAGTGTTGCTGCTGCTAAAAAAAAATGGGATCTCATTCAGCTTAGCCAGGATGCAGGGCAAGAGGAAAAGGCCTCAAGTGGCACTGAGGGAGGTTTAAATCACATATTAGGAAAAAAAATTCATAAGAAGGGTTGTGAAGTATTGGCACAGGCTGCCCAGGGAAGTAGTGGAGCCACTATCGCTGGGGGGTGTTCAAAAAACATGGGATGTGTCACTTGGGGACATGGGGTAGTGGTGGACATGACAATGCTGGGTTAATGGCTGGACTCAATGATCTTGGAGGGCTTTTCCAACCTTGGTGATTCCATAGTTAAGATGTCACTGAGGATACCAATGTGAGCCGTTTTTCTGTTACGTAGTTTTCCCAATTTCCTCCCAAACCTCGACGTCAAACGGCAGCACAGATTCTATTCCAGATGCAATCCAAGCTCTGGCCTAGGCGAGCCACAGATCCCATGCACAGAGCCTGGAGCAGTCTAAAAAGTACTGACCAAAAGATTTTGGGGAATCYATGTTCAGTSAGGAACTAAAMGTGAAAAGAACTTGGCATKTTCTTCATTCAGAAGCCCYGAATAATTAAAAGTAGAAAGAACCTTGTTTTTTTCTGTAATCAGAAACCCTCAATAAATGTTGCTTTAGATGAGGGGGAAGACAAAAATACTTTAGGCCACAGATGGAGTTGTCCAGAGAAGTTTTGGCCCTCTGTGGAAAAGTGTAAACAATGAAATTCTGTTTAAAGAGGCTGCTACACCTGTTTGTAGCCAAGGGAATGGAAATACAGACAGGGATTCCCCAATGCCCCCTCTGCCCCTCTCTTCCAAACCACAC